CCCCCCCCCCCTTAGGAAAGTTGCACCCTAAAATCCCCTTTGGCCTCATGTACCTTCTTGGGCAAGCGCCCCCTATGCAGAGCGTAAAGGAGGAGTCTTTGGGTCTCGCTGCACTACTCTCCACTCTCCGAAAAATGGGAGAGTTGGCGGAGTGCTGAAAAGCTCTCCAACTTGGTGATTTTTTGTATTTTGTTTTTTAAACATCATCATATATTGTATATAAAAAATGACGAGGCCGGGGTCCTCACAGTCTACCTGGGCCCAAGTCCCACTAGCAACGTTGAGCTACCTCAACGCCTGAATCTGGACGCTTTTGCGGAGATGTGCAGAAATGGTGTTGAGTTTCCTGAACTGCAAGTCTCCACAAACACGTCCAGACTCAGGCGTTGAGAACTTGAGGTAGCTCAACGCTGCTAGGGGGCGTTGGCCCCCTGAAAGAAGTTGCTGGGAGCATTACCCCCAGTTTTGCTTTGTCAATCCTTGGGACTATCTAGAGTAAACCGGTATCAGGGGACAGAGTGCAATGGTTTAATGATGGTGTGGCACAGCTGAGAGAAAGAGCAAAAAAAAATTTCCATACAGCACGCCAGAGACCGGAAGGCTCTTTTTGAAAAGCTGATGAAGGACCTGGAAGACTGGGACAACCAGCTTATGGACGATCCACAGCACCCTGCCACATTTGATGAACTGCAAAAAGCCAGAGACCACCTCCAAGCCTACATCGACCAACAAACACAAGCATGGAGGATTTTGGCCAGGATAAAACGTACACACACAAAGGGCACAATGGCAAAGAGTTTCTTCAACAAAGCGAAAGCAAGGGCGAGAGCCAATACTGTCCCCTTGCTCAGGCATCCTCTGGACGTCGCGGCTCGGTTAGCGAACAACGCTTATTCCATCACGGACTACGCGGCTCAGTACTACCGGCACCTGTTCACTTCCCAAACGTCTAACAAGCCAAGCGAAAGGGTCCGTCAGGCAAGGGATGAACTACTAAATACATTACTCTCCCGCCTCACGGAATCCCAAAAAACGGACCTTGATGCTCCCCTCACCCAGCAAGAGATATGGGAGGCGCTGAGAGACATGGATGACGAAAAGACCCCCGGTATTGATTCGTTCCCAAAGGAATTCTGGACTCGCTTCTGGGACCTCTTTAAGGAAGACCTGATGGTATATATCTTGGCGGTCCAAAAAAAGGGTACATTTGGGGGTATGATGGGACAAGGGGTCACCACACTCCTTTACAAAAAGGGCGACAAGGAGGACATAAAAAACTATAGACCTATAACCCTTCTCTCGGTCCCATACAAAATGGTGGCAAAAGCACTGACTAAGAGACTGCTGCCCTCTATGAACATGCTGATTCATCCTGACCAATCGGGCTTCATGCCCATCCGTAATATCCAGGACAATGACCTACTGGTCAATGAGACCATCAAGTACGCTCGCCAGAGGATTTCATTGATTTTGAAAAGGCCTACGACCACGTCGATTGGGACTTTCTGGACTTGTGCTTAGGTAGGATGAATTTTGGGCCGGCCTTTTGCCATTGGGTTCAAATCTTCCACAGGACGGCCACCACGAATATCATGCTAAACGGTCACCTCTCACCACCAATCCACCTCCAAAGATCAGTGCGGCAGTGCGACCCCCTCGCACCTCTGTTGTTCGTAGTTGTGATGGAAGCTCTGGCCACTGTCATCAGAGCTCACCCTAACATCAGTAGGGTGCCCATCCCGGAACTCCCGCACCACCTCATCCCGGTGACGTCGCTGTTCGCCGATGACCTGACTGTCCTCATCAAAGCGGATGACGACAGTGTGCGCGCCCTCTCTCAAATCATAGACCTTTTCTCGCTGGCGGCAGATATAAAAGTCAACTGGGGGGCAAAAACCGAAGGATGGTGGCTCCACCCCCAAGGAGAGCCCCCCCCGCAAGAGCCTGCGGTAGCTTGGGCGCGTAAGGAAGATGCCATTAGAATACTAGGGATGAGGCTGACAGCACTAGGCCCCCCGCAAGACTATGGTGATGTCCTGGTCAACCTCGCAGTGGGCCGACTGGCCAGATGGGAAGGGCTTCACACTTCATTAGTGGGCAGGGCGCTCGCAATGAACAATGCAGTTCTGGCTATCTGGTACAAATTAGAGGTCTGGCCACTTAAGAGGCAACAATATGCCAGACTCAAGAGAGCACTGACTACGTACCTCTGGAAAAACTCTGCCAGAGAGGAGGGCTGCATTGCAAGGGTCGGCTTGGACATTCTCACGCTGCCAAGAACTGAAGGAGGGTTGGGAATCCTGGATCCGGAGAGGGAAATTGAGGCACTGTTTTTTTAAGTATTGGTCAGACTGCTGATGGGCAATGACGTCCCCTGGGTCTGGCTAGCCTGCCTGCAGATTGCATCTTTGGCTCCGGAAGCGTTGACAGACAACAGGTTGCACCCCTTCCAATGGCTGACTAACACTGTCTGGTCTCTGCCCTCTCGCTCGCAACAACGCCAGCCGACCGACCCGAGGCAAGCGATGAGAGCAGACATCCCCCTGGATCCTATGTGGCCATATATGCTTAAGCTTTGGAGAAGGCGAGGGCCGGAACAAAAACAGCCCCCAAATAGATGGCAGGACATTTGGAGGCAACCCCTGTTTGGGAACCCCCGCATCCTGGATGAAAACGGTAACCCCTTCAGTCTTAAGAACAACTCCCCGTGGCTTGCTTGGGCCAGAAGGGGTATATATACAGTGGGGGACTTGTGGGACCCGCAGACAAACGACTGGGCAACAACTCAACAATTGCAACGCAGGCTTAAGCATGTCAAGAACGTGGGGGATAAAATGGCCATACTAAAGGAGGCTCTCCCCCTCGCGTGGCGTCTCACTATCCAGAACGGCCTGGATGTCCTGCATGACGATTGGACTGTCAAGTTCGCAGACTTGCCCTGTCCACTGACTGTCTTCAGAGTGCACAACAATGATAATGGTCGCTGTACACTGCAAGCATACGATCTTCTCAGCCCGGGGGCCAGATTCTCGAAACTCGTGAGAAATGATAACCTCGATGGGTCTGCAAATTGGGCTGGCCTGATGCATGTTCGGGTTGTGGGGGACTCGCAAGACGGATTCTTTGTGTTTGAGCCTGCTACCCCTGTGGCTAAGCTCCCGTTTGACCCGACTGAATGGGAATGGACTGGCCCCAAACCCATGCGCATATGGGACTATACAGTCAAAGGGGGGTACAGGGCCTCAAGGGCTCCCACGGAGATTGGCCAAAAGTTGTCTGACAGCTGGGCCCGTGACTCTCCCCTAGACTCGAAGTTGACAGAGGATTTCCCGTGGACCAAGTATGCTAAGATTATGCCCACGACCCTGCGAGCCCTGCAGTGGCAAATTGTCCATCGATGCTTGCCCACCCCCGATTGGCTGGTGTCCCGTACCGACTTGGAACAGAAAGGGCTGTTGTCGCCTCTATGCGCCTACTGTGGCAGAGCGACGCCCCCAACCAGGGCCACGTTGGAACACTGCTTGCTGGCGTGCCCCATGGTTACCGAACTCTGGCAGTGGTGGGATGCAGCCTTTCATTTTCTCACGGGAGAGCGCATCCCATGGGACCTGTGGTTATTGCTCCTGGGTAAAAAACAGCATCTGATGAATCACTGGTCCCCCTATGCAACTAACCTCTTCTCGTATACGAGACTGCAAATACTGATGCTAGCTTGGAGAGCTAGGTGCTCTTTTGAGAGAGGGGACCACCAATTCGGCCTGCAGCAGGCCCAGCAAACTGTGGAGGACACTCTCAGGTCCCACACGCAGGCTGCGTGGAAAACATTTATTCAAGACTATAGGGAGGAGAAGGACCCTGCTGTTCGAGACATACTAAAGTCGGCCTTCTGCCTGCTGTGGCAGGATCCGCAACAATCACTCTCTGAATTGGACAGGGACCTAAATATCCACTGGAAGCAGTGGAGGGGCTCAGAGTCTTCATGGCAAAGGAGACCCTTTCACTCCTTCCAAGTCCCCTTCTTACAGCCTAACTTCGTCCTGATAACACAGTGACGTGTCACAAGGGCACCTGCTCGCAAACAGAGTCACTCTAACGCCTCAGCTCCCCCCCCCCCCCCCCCCCCCCCCCCCCCTTCCCCCTTCCTCCACCCTCCCTTCGCCCCTGATGCTTTATACCCC